GGAAGAAAGAAAGAAAGAAAGAAAGAAAGAAAGAAAGAAAGAAAGAAAGAAAGAAAGAAAGAAAGAAAGAAAGAAAGAAAGAAAGAAAGAAAAAGAAAGGAAGGAAGGAAGGAAGGAAGGAAGGAAGGAAGGAAGGAAGGAAGGAAGGAAGGAGGAAGGAGGAAGGAAGGAAGGAAGGAAGGAAAGAGAAGCAAGCAAAAGCAAAAACGAAACCTGCTATCTAACTTAACTTCTTGCTCTAATTTTGTGACCCAAAAAGAACTACCCAGACCTGAGAAACAAAATAATGGTGAACATTATGATGCTCAATTTGCAGGATGCATTAGAACATCCTACCATTTAATGTCTGTCATCCAAACTCAAGTTATCTGGCAGTTGAGCAGAGGGAGGAGCGAGTAGAAATATAGATGAAACAATGTTGACCATCAGTGAATAATTTTGGAAGCTAGGCATACGTATATTCTTTCTACTTTTGTAATTTTGTGATTTTTTTGGTAATAAAGAGGTTGTTTTAGAGAGGGAAGGAATACAATGTAGAAAAAGGCCACAGTAATAATTATTTTTAAGCAATACAGAAACAAAAGAATGAGCACAAATGCAGATGATAGAAAGACAAAGAATACTAACTGATTGCATCCTCAAAGAAGCCAACCTTTTAAACTTAAAAAAATCATTAGTATTATTGAAAGTACAGGCAATGTTACTAATTTCTAGGGATTAATAACTTACTTGAAATGATACTGTTTATGCAAGAAAATTCAACAGGCAAAATTCCTTCTCAAGAGAGACCTGTTGTATGACAGATTTATACCCCAACTTTTTCCCGTCACCTTTTATAAAAAGTTTAAGGAGAAGCCCCATCCTTTTACTTTTCATAATCACTTCTCTAAACACTCCATCAGAGAATGTCTGAAACATCTGAACCTATTACCCCATCTGAAAGTTTTCTTCTTCCTTCACTTTGAGGGTTCCCCATACTCCTGGTACTCCTGCCTTTCTAGTTTATTAAATACTAATGTTCTGCATTAATCTCGCCAAAATTCCCTGCTCAGAAACCTCCAGTGGCAGTCCTGCCTGGAGGATAGAGGGTGGTTCTCAGTCCGCAGTCTGGTGTTTGTCTTCCTGGAAATACAATGTGAGATGCTCTAAGAGGGGAAATCACACCTCTTTTTCTTAAAAATGACCCAAAGCTATCTGGCCATATAAAATGGTATTCCTCACATACTATATGGAAAACGAGCACTATGTGAGTTAAGGGTCTGAGAGCAGACTGCAGACCTCGGTCACTCTGTGTTAGCCACGCTGTCTCCCAACTGTGCTCTGTGCATTTCTTGTACGTTCCTCTCTCCTGGCCTTGTGTCCTTTGTTCTTCTCAGCCTAAGTCCCAATTCTGCTATGTGGTCTTTCCTGTCATCCATGGGCTGTATTCTCCTTCCTCTGATACCATTAGCAAATTTGCTTGCATCACACATGTGGTCTCCCTAGAGAGAGGGAAGAAGACATTTTGACAAGTGTTTACTATGTGACATGCTACACCTATCATCCCAGTTTAACATCATGTTATTTTGTTATTATTTACATAGAGTGTTTATCTCTTATTAGGTAGGAACTACAACTTTTATGCACCACTGACTGCATCTAAGGGATTCATTAACCAATTAAATTGAAAAACTAAGTAGTTCTGTTGCATGAAAATAAAATAAAGAGCACACAGGTTCCCCACTTTGGCCTAATATAGTCTCTAAACTGAAAGAAAGACGGTGTTCCTGTTACCTTGAATTGTGTCTTTTTTTTTAATGTTAGATAAGCGTTGTTTCTGTTTAACCATTGTTTTCCTTTGATCCTCACTTATTCAGTTTCTGCATCCTGAAAGAAATGCTACAGCTTCTAAATTTGTCTAACTTAATATAAGTCAGACTCTGGAACACTAATTCAGGTTTCAGTAGCATTTTTCATGTTTAGAAGTTAAGCTAATCCATTTCTAAGTCAAGTAACGAAAGCTTTCTTTAGCCTGGTCCCAATGACTTGCATTTTGCAAGATTGCAAAGCCTTTGGACAACACCCACCTGTGTCATGTGGTCCTGTGGTTTCCTTGTCAATCACTGTGGGATGAGATCTCTAATATATTCTGTTTTTCTCAGGCACTGCAAAGTGAAATGGTATCCCAGGCCACGATCTACAGTAACCTTTTGCAAGTGAAGGAATCATTATTCTCATTGGCCTCCAAAGATGATGTGAAAATGATGAAGCTACATCTGGAGCAGTTGGATGAGAGATGGAGAGATTTGCCACAGATAATTAGCAAAAGGTTGTTTTTAAAAAATTCTAATATTGTTTATTTTTAAAAATGATGATCAGATAAATTAAAAAAGAATAGTTTTGTTTACTTTTATTTCTACTCAACTATTCAGGGAATAATTATGGAAGGGGTGAAAACTATTATTTATTTATTTGCCATTTTAAAAATTAAAGCACTCAAAAATTAGCCTTTCTGATGAACCTCAACTCAAAATTTTAGTCCCGTAACCAAGGCAAATGATCAAACTAGTTGAAATATATTGAAGAAAGTAGGTTTGCTCACGTTTGTATTATTTATTAAGATATTTGTGTACAGGAGAGTAATGATAATTAAAATTTTGCCTAACATAGGTTTCAACAGAGGCATTACCTAGATACATATAGGCATTATACACATACACACACACACACACACACACACACACACACACACACACATAGGCATTGTATATATACATATAGGCATTGTATATATATATTTCATTTCATTCCAATACAGAACTTTGTAGAGAGCAAGGAAATTGCTATTATGCTAAATGGAAGCAAAAATAAATTAAAGCCTCTTTGACTACATGATTAACAATCGGCTTTCTAAAGTTTTGCCTTAAATTGGTATTGATTACCCATGTCATCTTGAATAAGTCATTTAATCTTTTCAGTCATCCTTTTAGTTCATTAGTTCAGCAAATATTTGAGTCTCTGCGTTGAGTAGGGCACTCTTTCATGTGCTGGGCATAGCAACAGTAAACAGAGCTCTGCTCACTACTTCATAAAGCTTGTATTCGTTCCACTGTTTATTCAACCAGTCAGCAAATCTTTCTTGGGTACCTGCTGAATACCAGGCACCATATCAGATACTGGAGCCATAAAAATACATAAAACTGACCTCAGCATTTTACAGATCAGCATGGGGACAACAAGAAAGTCAATGAGAGTGTTAAGCACAGAATATTATGGAAACAAAAAGAAGGGACATTTGAATAGATTCGGGAAAGGCTGACGGATTGGTACCAGCTCTTGAAAAATGAACACCTTTCTGTAAAATAGAGTAGGATCTGCCCTATGCTTCTCTCACAGAGGGAAAGGAAAGGGCTTTTAAAATGATACAAATGTGTGAAAACATTCAAAATAAAAGTTGAACTTTGGATGCAAACCATTGTAATGAATATTAATAATTGACTGAGGTATTAATCTTAATGACAGTATTGGATTCTGACCTCAGATCGCCTGTTACTAATCAATCAAATTTATTTATTACACAAGCAATAGCTGATCCCCAACCATATCCCAAGCACCTTTCTATGTGCTAGGGACATAGTAGTAAGCAAGGCAGGTAGAGTCCTGTATCACTGAGTGAGGGGAGGATAAACATGTAACTAAACAAGTGAATGAGTAAGACTGTTTCAGTGGTATTAAGTAACGTGAAGACAATAACATAGGTAACACAGTAGGGACCATAGACTGGCGTATCTTCAGACACATGATCAAGCAAAGCCTCTCCAGGGACATGACATCTGATTAAGATCTGAATGCTGTGCAGGAAGCAAACCCATGGTGCTTTGCGGGTAAATCATATGGGCAGAGGGAGCAAAAAGGGCAAAGCCTCTGAGGCAGTAATGCGCCGGGATGTTGGGGAAGCAGAGGTCAGTGGCAGTGTGGAGCAGTGGGGAGCAGTGCTGTGTCAGATGAGGTCGGAGAAGTCGATTATGTGGCATCTCTCTCAAGGAGCCGCGTTTTGCCTGCCTTCGTGCAACAGGACATTGCCCCCGTGTTTAAGTGTGGCGGAGAACGTTTGGATTATCTTAATTTCATTTCTGGCTGTTCTCTAAAAAGTAGATTATAGTGAGGCAACGGTGGCAGGAGGGAGGCCTGTTTAGGAGGCTGGAGGCTGGAGGCTGGAGGCTGGAGGCAAGAGATGAGATTTAGACTGGAGTGTAGAAATGAAGGGAAGAGCACAGTATTCTGTGTTGGCGTGTGACAGGACACGCATAGTTCAGAAGCAGTAGACAAGAAATGGGGGGAGCAGTAATGACTCCGAGGATATCTGGGTGGATAGTGGTGATGTTCACTGAAATGAGGAAAATTGTGAGAGAAATAGGTTTTGAAAGGCAGAAAGCAGCAAGAGTTCTGGTTTGTCCGCAGGCAACCATGTCACTTTTGCCCTTGCTGAAGCTTATTCCAAAAAACTATCAACTTCTTCCGTTCAGTGATGGAGCATTTTAACTTTAATACCTTTCTCTGCCTAGGATTAATTTTCTTCAGTCTGTGGCCACCGAACACCAGCAATTCGATGAACTTCTTCTTTCCTTTTCTGTCTGGATTAAGCTGTTTCTCAGTGAATTACAAACTACTTCTGAGATAAGCATCACCGACCATCACGCAGCTCTCATTCGGCACAAGGTAAAGTATATTCTTTTAAGATGGAAGAACTTTTTCATAAAAGAGAGCGCTAGAATTATAAAGGGATGTGACATTAAAAAAAGCTCACACATTCGCCAGCAGTTTAAGTTTGTATTCCTATATAAATGTTTTCGTAATCGAGCGTGTGGTCCAGGTAACATGTTATGCAGATACGTGAAACAGTGAAAACCACTTCAGATAAAATGCGCAACCACCTTCAGATACCATTTCTTCCAAGAGGAGCAAATGATTTCTAGGGCGAAATGATGAAAATGTTCATTTTTAAGCTTCCCAGTTTGTTTTGTTCCAATGCGGAAAACTAATACTAATACTGAATCCCAATGCTTTAACAATATAGTTTTTTTCTCAATTACTATTTGGCGTACAAGTTATTTAAAATTTATGATTTATTTTTCTTATTTTTAAATTATGCATAATATCTATCCTGGCATCAAAAAAAGAAGTTTAAAAAATCAGATACTAATCAGGTATTGGGATCGTTGGAGATAAGATACATGAACATGTAACAATATTTAATGATAAAACATTTAATTTGTATGGAGTGCTTTCTCTATGCTGGGCTTGCTAATTCGTTTCACCCAAAAGAAAGGTACTTCCTCATATCTTCATGACGACAGGTGTTTTTTCGACTTGGAGCAAGGTGCCCACGGAAGTGAGGCTCCTCCCCTCTAAAGAGTCTGGAAGGTTCAGGCGCCATCTTCCTTAATGATTACATTGCACAGAGCCGACTACCAGGCTTTGGAGAAAGACATTCTTGGGTTATAAAACTGTCCAGAGGCTTTTAAAAAGATTTACATCTCAAAGGGGCAGAGATTGAGTTTGTGAGTTTTGTAAAGTAAATGCTCGAAGAAGCCCAGTAAAAAAAACAGCAGAAGGATATTGAGGCTGCATGGTCCAGATTAAGGCAAGTGGTGATTTCTCTTTCCTGGGGACCGTACCGAGATTCTTAGCAATTCTCAGATAGATCTTAAATGATAAATCTATCGTGAGCCAGTTAGATATGCTACATAATGATTTTACTCAGTTAATCTACATCTCTTTAAAAAGGAAGCAGATAAAACTTGTGCACAGTTTCATCTGCCTTACCCACATGCTAATATCCACACTCT